TAGTGGAAGGTGTCCCTGCTGCTGGCAGGGGGGGTGGAACTGGATGAGCTTGAAGGTCTCTTCCAACCCAAACCATTCAATGATTCTATGATAAATCAGCCGACAGCTGCGATCAAAGGGAAAACAGACATTTCCTTTTACAGCGACCTGCAGCAAACCCACTCTTGATCTGAAAACAAAAAACCACCGGATTTAATCAAAGGGGAGACAAGCCAAAGATAGATCCGGTGTAATTCAGGCTCGAGAAGATAGAAAGAATAAAAGAAACCACAAACACAACTGGTTCTCCCCAACAGCAACTCACCTGGGCGTGTTTGGCTCGGAGCTTGTTGAGGATGTTGGTGGCATCGAAGCCGGCGTTGTCGCAGAGCTGGCGGGGAATGATCTCGAGAGCTTTAGCGTAAGCACCGATCAGGAGCTGCTGTTTGCCTGGAATGGTCCTGGAATAGTCTCGGAGGTATTTGGAAAGTTCCATCTCAATGGCACCACCACCAGCAACAACTGAGTCGTTCTGAAAGGAAAAGGGAAACTCTGAATTTGGTTCCAAGGACGAGGAGAGCAGGGAAGTCTCCTGTTCTGTAAGTGTCAGGGTGATGCAGACACACCAGGCGTAGGGGAATCCACAGCCTGGGTTGTTGTCACCCCTGGGAGCATCTGACAGCCTTGCTGGGAGCTTCAGAAACAGGTCAAGAACCTCCAGTGGCAGCTACCAGCAGCTGTGTCCAGCTGTGCACAAGGGGAGGTTTGGGGACAATGTACTAGAGGAGGGATGACAGAGCACAGCCACCCCCCTGCCTCGTGCTGGGCAAGTTCCTCTCACTTCCGTAAAATACTTAAAATTCAAGATATTTGCAGCCAAGTTGTATTTCCCTCCTTCCCCGTTCCCTATTTGTTTCAGGAGGGAGATCAGGATGTTCTTTCAAAAAGCAAAATCAGTTCTAAAAATCTTGACGTGGTTCTTCCATCCCCTCAGGGCACTCAAAGCTGCTTTTAACCAGAAACCAAAACGTTCACACGTTATTCCACACAGGCCAGAAACACCCGCAGTCCAGCAGCATCTACCACACAGGACCAGCAGCTCCACAAGCAGAACACACATCCACAAAGCCTCAGACTTGTCTCTGGGTGTTCTCAGATCATCTTCACAGCCAGGGGACAGTCACCCCCTCAGATTGGTCACTGAGGGGGGAACAAGTGGCTTTAAGGGGTGCTGCCATGCTCATGAGATCAACGCTGCTACCCAAATCTACCAAAGATCATCAGATCATTAAGGGTGGAAAGGATCTTTGAGATCATCGAGTCCAACCATGAACCCAACACTGACCAGTCCCCTATGACTAACCCATGTCCCTCAGCACTGTGTCTACACCACTCTTCAATCCCTCCAGGGATGGGGACTCCACCAGTGCCCTGGACAACCCCTTCCAATGCCTCACAACCCTTGCAGCAAAGAAATTCTTCCTCACATCCCATCTCAACTGCCCTGGGCACAACTTGAGGCCATTTCCTCTTGTCCTGTCCCTTGGTCCTTGGTTGAACAGACCCACCCCCACCTCTCTCCCCCCTCCTCCGAGGGACTTGGACAGAGCCACAAGGTCTCCCCTCAGCCTCCTTTTCTCCAGACTCAACAACCCCAGTTCCCTCAGCTGGGAACTCAGCACACTTGTGCTCCACACCCTCCAAATCTACCTAACACACCCCAAATCTTGTGTTCCCTTTAGGATGGAGGTGTTTACAGAACACACCACAACCCAGCAAAAGCACAAGTTACATCTGTACTAAAGAGAAGACAAAACCAGGCGTGCTGGGAAAGCAGTTGGCAACACTGCAGAGACACCACCACTTTGGCCACGGAACAGAACTGGAGTGAATCCATCGGGTGCTGCCCGTGTGCACACTCCACTCCACCAGCTGAGAGCTCCTGATCGCTCCCCAGAGACATCAGCCAAACCCTGGTGTGTGAAAAGGTTCCTAGAAGGAGTCACAGCTGTGCCAGGTCTGATCAACAGCCTCAAAACCTCCCTGCTGTGTTGGCATCTCCACTGGTCCTTACCTTGATTGCTCTCCTGACTATCATGATGGCATCGTGCAGGGACCGTTCCGTCTCCTCCATGAACTGCTCCGCACCCCCTCGCAGGATTATTGTGCAGGTCTTTGCCTTGGGGCAGCCCGTGAAGAGGTTATACCTGCCAAGGGGACAACAGGAAAGGGTTAAGGGGACAAGGAAGCGGTGCTGCTGCTGAACTGGCTGTGCACTGACAGGACTTGAGCAGCTAGAACAAGT